TGTATTCCATATTATTCCCGATCTTTTTTTAATCTTCTTTTAATTTGTAAATAGGCCACCATTCCATATTTATTCCTTGTATTTTCAGATCTTGTACTGACTTTAGTTCTCCTTTTTCATCTAAGAGTTCTGCATAACCTACCATTTTGCTAAGATCTATAGTATTTGGATATGTCATTGCCTCCATCGTTGATAGCCAGATTGGAATTTTCACATAATGGTTTTTTAAATATTTTTTCCAAGACCTTAAACAGGACATCCCTTACTACTGTCTCTGGAAGTAGGAATGAAATTTATTCTTTCCCTCCCAGAGGAAGTCATGCTGGCAAAGTTGGAGATAAGAACTTTATTTCAGTAATTACACAAATAGAACTGATTTCATCTACCTCCTTCAGCTTCTAATGAAGATAAATTACTAGCTTAGAAGCCTCTGCTATTTTTTCCAAAATCTTCAATGAGTATATAATTTTAGAGGCAGCAGTAGCGTAAGATTTCCTTTAAATGTAGACTACAAATAAATAAATTCCCAGTAACTACTTTGAAATAAATTAACATAGTTTTTAAATTTTATTTACAGTCCAAGAATTTAAAATATTGCTTGCCATTAATACATGTAGAGTAGATAAGTAAAAGGAAGAAACCTTATAAAGTTAAATTTTCACTGAAAGTATCAAATGGTTTCTATAAGCTAAAGCTATAAATAAAAATGCTATTGGCTTCAAAACATTCAGGTATTTATTATTTAATACTTCAATCTCCCTGTGATGAGTGGAGTTTATCTTATTTAATTTTAAATTTCAGCTAAAGTAGAGGTCTTTTCTATGCATATATTAAAAGCAATGGATTACAACTTCAATACATTCCTTGAATGATGGACCTTGAGGACAACTTGCAGAGTTAATATGGTCTCAAATGCTATTTTTGAAAACAAGCAATATTATCAATTTCATTTATATGATTTGGTAAGGATTGCTAGCAGATTGACTTTCCACCTTGAAAAGTAGATGTTTAAGTTGCCTTTGTAATGAAAAAAAACCTCATTTTATAAATAGGTTTTCTAAGGTAAACACACTTTTATATTACCATTTTTGGGAGACATTACCTTGCTTACTTTGTTATGCAAAACCACTCTTATTCATCATGGACATTGAGACTTTGGGTTGAGCTAAATAGTGTGAATGTGGGACAAAATTTTGTATTTAATTTCCAGATATTTAAGTCTGCTTGTCCCCTCCCTAACTAGTCTTTAGGGAGGGAAGCAAATCAGATCAAATGATCTTTAGAGACCCAAATAAATTAAATTAGGCTGGAGTCAGTTACTGCACTAAACCATCCAGTAATTGGATTGCTCCTTGTAACTGATTGAAAACAGCTTCCATCTGCAGCAATATGGGCTGGGCTTCCTTACAATAAATTTGAGAGAAAAACACATCTTTTTATGACATGATGACAGACATTGCACTTTTCCAGCTTAATTGAATATGGTTTTATAAATACATGACTTTAACAATTTCAACTGTTTCATTTCAAATTTACAGTCTCATTAATATCTTAATTTAAAGTAACTCCACTTTGGAATTTTTGAGCCATATTGTCAATATCAGGGCTTAATTATGGACTACTTCAAATAATGATTAAAAAAAGAAAGTGCTCTTCAATATCCCCAGAAACCTTCCTCTTTATTACTGAATACTGTATATTTAACAGATTAAGATAAGATCCCATAGGATTGGTACCAGAGGGATCTGCTCACAATACACAATATAGATTTTTTTTAAAATCTGGAAGTTAGATAAAACACAGTTTAGTGCTAGGTAGCATTTTGCTAGTTCAGGTGGTGCTTGTCTCACTGGGTTTTCAGCAAAATTACTTCATGAAAATGCTTAAAGAATACTTAGGATTTATGATAATGACTGCAAATTTTATTTAAAGAAATTATTTAATTTATGAATTTGATCCAAAATAAAAACTCACAATAGTAAATAATAACAATAAACAAAGAAAAGAGAATCAAAGGGCAAGAAACATTATTTATTACTTCTATTTTTATAACTTCTGTAATATTGTATATTCCATTCTCACTAAACATATTATATTCAAATTAATTATTAACCTTATAATTCTTTATTTGTGTCCATGACTTGTATATTTCTTATTTATTTAATTAAATTAAACATTGTGACAGATGTGCTTCATGGAAAAACTTCACATTTGGTATCCTCTATATCCTGTCAACATATGGGTATAAATAAACTTTCTGAAGTAGAAATTTTTCCATTTTTCTTTGCCATCTGAATATTGTTTTTCAACTATTCAACATGATAATGCATAGAAAAGTGTTGGGACTCAGCAGCAGCTTGCTGTGGGTTGCGTCGGGATGCAGGAATAATGAGCAGCTGTTGCTCGTTAGGGTCATCTTCTGCAGATAAAAGACAGATGGTGCCATGCCTTAGTTGCAGAAATCAACATTCGTGGTTCGTCGTTCATCGGTCATAGTTTGTTGTTCGTGAGAGGCACTTGGATAAGTGATTTGCTTTCTGTAATCCTGATTCAAAGAGGCACTTGGATAAGTGATTTGCTTTCTTTCTGTAAACCTGGTTTTGCTGTAAGAGCTTTTTGTTTGTGCTTTTGCTGTGTACCCTTTTGCCAGAGACTTTATCTACATTTATTTTTGGGCTNGGAGCTGAGAGGCCACCACTTTCTCAACAACCTTCCTAACAAAGGGGAGGTTGGAGACTGGACGGTAGTTACTTAGAATGGCTGGATCCAAAGAATAACTGTTCTGAGTTTCAGTTATATTACACTGATTTATAAATGGAGCAAAAATATGCTAAACCTTTTCACAATGCCTTGCTAAAATTTGGGGAGGGCTAAATTTATGAAACTTTATGGTTTCTGTAAAATAGCTTGAATGTTTTTCCTAAACAAAGGCTGTTTTTTATGTTTGGTTTGAGTAAAAGAAATTTGGATAGTTTAAGCACATGTAACATTTCATTAAAATACTTTTTATAATGCTAGTAATTCTTTAAAATAATTTAAAGGAAAATCTTTCAAACACGTGCGAAGATAGCACAGTGTGTATTGTACTGAGTTTTAATAATAGCAGAGTGGAGTTGAACTCATGGAAAATCCAGAGCACATATTTCAGTTAATTGTCAACTATGCACAACCACATTTCCATATTTGGAATGCATCTTTGATACTTGTTTCAAAATGTGCTTTAAAAATTGCATTTATTGCATATACTATACATTACCCCATTCCATAAGATTCCAAGAGATTAACAATAATAAAAACTGATAAAAACAAGTAAAACAGAACAAAACTACAAAACAATTCAATTCTGATTCCTAAAAAAACAATAAAATCAAAAGAACTCCAGCAGAAAATAATCAACTTCTAATCAATATTCTTGGCAACAGCCTGCTATTTTCCAAAGGCTTAAAGAACCAAGCAGTTTGTAGTGTCTTCCTGAATGATTTAGAAATAGACTCACTGAAATATAGATTGCTTTAATCAGGATGAATAATCTTTATTGTTTCAAGGGGTTAACTCTTTGCAAGATTAAATAAGACTAAACTGTATCTCTATTCTATACAACTATTCTAGCTACAACATGGTGAATAAAATGAGCAAGTTTCCTTACAATTCTAGCATCAAGACATAATTTGCTAATCAGTTTCTGTGATGAAAAATGCTACAATTCAACCACAGATGGATTTGTTTAAGTAACATTGCTATATGCTGTAAGATTTTCTCATCTCTTTCTGTTTTTAGATAACCAAGCTGAAAATTGACAGCAACCCATTTGCTAAAGGATTCAGGGATTCTTCCAGACTCACAGATATTGAGAGGTAATGAGGATCTATTGTATATATGGATAGATTCTATAGGGAATTCTAAATTGTCCCCATCTATCATTTCTGGCCTTCGCTATAAATCTTCCAAGTTTTCCCAGGAAACATTTTCAAAGAAGTGACACATCATGAATACGCTCAATAAGTTGTGATAGAAAGTTACTTCTAAGCAGCTGAGCAGCAAAGTGTTCTCTGTAAATGGATTCTCCATGGTTAAGCAATAAGAATGTGTTCACTGATGCATCTTAGCTATTTTTATGTAATCTGTTTATCTGTATGTGTGAATAAAGGACAAGTGAGGGCAAGCTAATCAATATATTTTAAGTGACATGATTGCCAATTTGTGATACTATGTAAGAAAGTACTTGGCTTTGATTCAGTGGTGGGTTTCAAAAAATTTTAGAACCTCTTCTGTAGGTTTCGCCTGCTTTGTGGTAGTGGCTTGCCAGCCATGTGACCGGGTAGGAGTGGCTTGCCAGTCATGTGACCGGGTGGGAGTGGCTTGCTGGCCATGTGACTGGGTGGGCATGGCCAACTCGTAAAATGTGGTGAAACCCACTTAATAACGCTCTTGCTTAGTAACCAAAATGTTGGCTCAGAACTCTGGTATTTGAAGCACACAAGTCTTAAAGCTGTGAAGTTACAAGACCCTTGCACCCCTAACCTTTTAGAAAAAAAAACCCAGGGGTGTTCAAACTTGATAGCTTTAAGACTTGTGGACTTCAACTCCCAGAATTCCTCCTCCAGTCATGTTGGCTCAGNCAGTGTTACGAAGCTGCTCGGCGCCATTTTGAGTATCTCTTTAGAAAGCAAGATATCAGAAGGAGTTCTTGTAAAAACAAAAACTGAAGCTAAAAATTGATACAAGCAATTGAAAGTCCACATGTACGGGTTCTGCTCGCCTTGGGATCAATAAATCAAGTTTTGTTCTGAGGATTTGAGTGTTGCTTTGTACTGCAAATGCAGCAGAAATTCCTGGCACGGAGGCAATTCTGCCGTCGGCTGGCCTCCCCCCCTCCCAGATACAATCTGTGAAAGTAAGTTGGCATGATGCCTGGTAGAAAGCTCACCATTATCTTCTTAGCCCGAAGAAAAAGGTAAACAAACTGTCAGATAGCTGATGGATAGCTCATCTGGCAATTAACGTGTCCAAGATTTGAGAACCGAAAAAATCCGCTCCCGTCAGCAAGCAAACTCAAACCGGAAGCCCATAAATGAGTCTTAAAAATGTGGTGTTCCTCCCAGGTGCTGCGCCAGGATAATTGCTGGGCCTTTTAGATTAGACATAGCATGGGAAAGATGGTTTTTGTTTTTGTTGTTCCTCTAAGTCAGCATGGTCTTTTTAGATGTAGATCTGTCCCACTGTAGGCCACCAATATTTATTTTGGAGTCAGTTGATCCTAGAAATGTGTTTATAAATTAACTACCATGTTTTCCCAAAAATAAGACAGGGTCTTATTTTCTTTTGGCCCACAAAATATGGCTTTGGCCTTATTATCAGGGGAGGGCTTATTATTTTGGGGTTGCCAGTCGGCTGCTTTCTTGTGAGAGGACTCCCGAAGAGCTGGGCACAGCCTCAGGGTTGAATGTCTGTTTTGCACTGTCGCAACAATGCCACACAGCAGCCATGAAGTGACCATGCTCAAGAGATGCCACTTGGAAAAACCCCTTTCCAGCTGGGCACAGCACCATTCACTGACTTAGGGGTATCACCAAGCCACCGGAGTGCCTGTTCCCCGCCCCCAGCTCCCGTGGCTTGGTGCCTTCGGATTGCCCCTAAGTTAGTGAATGGGGCTCTGCATGGCTGGAGAGGAGGGTTGCGCGAGTGGATTTTCCGCTCCCTGCTCATGCGCCTCCCAGCCTCATGATGCCCTTGGCCAACTCTCACTGCAGAGCCAGGGCAGCTCTGGTGCCACCCACTGCCAGCATCACTGCCCTAGCATGGCTTTTTCTGTGGCTTCCAAACCACAGCGGTAGGATGCTGAGTCTTCCAGAAGTGGCCACTCTGGGAGTATGCTCTATGGTTGTGGGCCAGCTGCCAGCAGAACATACAACCATAGAGCATACTCCCAGAGCAGCCACTGCTGGAATACTTGGCATCCTACCTCCGTGGTTTGGAAACCACAGAAAAAGCCGTGCTGGGATTGTGGCAACGGGCAGCAGCGGAGGTGCCCTGGCTCTGCAAGGAGAATTAGGCATTGTGAGGCTGGGAGGCGCGCAAGCGGGGAGTGGAAAAGCTGCTCGTGCAACCCCCCTCTCCAGCCATGCAGAAGTCAGTGAGCGGCGCTCTGCCTGGCCGGAGGGGGTTGTCCAGGGGGCTTATTTTGGGGGGAAGGCTTGTATTTTTGCCCACCCGAAAATTGTGGCTTGGCCTTATTTTCAAGAGATGTCATATTTTCAGCGAAACACGGTAGCTGAATATGCTATGCAACTATGTGATTGGGCTTGATAAATTGACTTATAGCTTGAAAGTTAATGAATAGTTATGATCGGCCTCTCCTCTCCCCTTCTCTCCCTCAGGCTTGCCCAACAGAAGCCTCCCCTATCCTATTTCCTCCTCTCCCTCAGCCTTGTTGCACGGACACCTCTCCTATCCTATCCCCTTCTTTCCCTCAGCCTTGCCCCACAGAAACATCCCCTATCCTATCTTCCTTCTCTCACTCAGCCTTGCTGCACAGAAATCTCTCCTATCCCCTTCTCTCCCTCAGGCTTGCTCCACAGAATCCTCCCTTATCCTATCACCTTCTCTCCCTCAGCCTTGCCTCACAGAAAACTGCCCTATCCTATCCCCTTCTCTCCCTCAGGCTTGCCCCACAGAAGCCTATCCTATCCTATCCTATCCTATCCTATCCTATCCTATCCTCTTCTCTCCCTCAAGCTTGCCCCACAGAAACCTCTCCCATCTTATCTCCTTCTCTGCCTCAGGCTCCTCTTCAATCTCCCAGACAGCAGACTAGATGAGTAAGGTGCTGGCCATGCCCATGTCAGATCCCTAAAAGTAATACTGCCATTCAATTGGGAGGAGCAGAGCCTCGGAGTAAAATCACTAGCATATCTGTAACAACTGAGTTTTACAACTCAGCAAGTGGTTTCCTCTTACTGGAAGTCTGAAGGCCCCAGCATCTCTGGAAGAATGTTTATGATAGCCATTTGGGATAACTTACTTTAATGTCTAACTAGAGATAGCCATGGGAATGTGTGTTTTATTTGACTCTCAAGGCAGAAGAGTTAAGGAAATATCTTCACACTTGTGTATTGGTTAGAATCTGCATTNTCTGTAATCCTGATTCAAAGAGGCACTTGGATAAGTGATTTGCTTTCTTTCTGTAAACCTGGTTTTGCTGTAAGAGCTTTTTGTTTGTGCTTTTGCTGTGTACCCTTTTGCCAGAGACTTTATCTACATTTATTTTTGGGCTTGCAGCCAGCTTGAGCCAGGACTGATAAAGATATTTCCTTTGAAGTTCTGTCTGACTGTCATTTGTGAACGAGTGAAAGGGGGGGGGGGTCAGAACAGAAAAGTAATACCCTTTTTATGATAGTTATTTTGCCTTTTCGAGTTAGAACTAATTTCCTCCCATTAAACTATATTTTTATACCAAACCAAACCAAACCAGAATCAACTTGTCTGAAGTAGTCTTGTGTAATTCTTTACTATTGGAATATCTAAAGGTGAATATTCGTGCATCAAAGACCTGCTGATTTTGAAGGGGAAGTTATAAATCATAAATCCAGATTGAGGAAAATATATTTTAATATTGCTATCTCATCAAATTCTAATAATTAATATTTTCAGGATTCTGTTTTCAATGGATTTGATAGTAAATAAACATCATATTATTCACAATACAAATTCAACCAAATTTCTTTAGCTTGAAACAACAGCCTTCCCCTCTTTATTGTTTCATTTAATCCATGATTTGTACCAAAGTTTCATAGTCAAATAAATGATAAATAATAAATGATATTATAGAATGGCCCTGTTTTACTCCTGTATAGGGATAGGAATTCAAATTATTTATCCTCTTTTACATTAAAAATTGGATTAAATTGATATGCCTTTAACACATCTTTCAGATAAATACAGTTTACTAAATTGAAAGGCTTACAGATATTTAAACTACAAAGACATAGTTGAAACATAAAAGAGAATATTTGTAGCTCAGCACCCTCATAGTTGAAATAGTTTTTCAAGTTGGAGAATTATGTTCAAAATATTCAAATTAGTATGAAAATACATATAGCAGGTAGAAAAACATTTGGTCAGTATGTTTATGGAAATTCTCAAGCATCCAGGCCATGTTTGTCCCCAAGTTGCTTTTCAAAAGCATCTTTGAAGTCAGAACTGAAGATGAGAAGCAAAATGTTTTCAAGGAAAAAACTAAGAAAGTCCAGGTGCCTTTTGAAAAGCAGCTTTGAGATATTTATTCAGTATAATAATTTTCTATGTTTATCTATCTTATACTGACAATCAGAAATGAATTAAAGAGGTCCATTAGGCTAGGAATCGAACAGTTTGATTCACCAATTCATGATTTTCAGAATAAATTTTTTCCCCCAAGTCTTATCTTTTATCACTTTATTATTGCTAATCTGAAATAAAGATGTTAATTTCTGATTCTCCATATCTGTGACTATAAAACTAAGTTTGAATTAATTTTTTGCTGCAATGATACCTGGAAAGCTCAGAGAAGCTTTATAAACTGCCCACCCTTTTCTAGTCTGGCCCCGAAACTCATATCAACTGGGTTTCTTCTTCCAAGCCAAATCCAGCCAAGGAATCATATGAACACCTGGCAGGGAATGAAATCAGAATTTTGGTACACATTGTATCTTCATTCTGCAGATTAACGATTTTCTGAGATTGAAGTAGTATTGTATAATCATTAACAATGAGAATGACTCAATAATGCATCCCTTTTGAAGAATGTGCCAATGACATATTTTAGGGCATAGAATTATAACCGCAAATATATTTACATGATTGTAATTTATATTTTTCTG